TGTTGGAACATAGGTTAGTACTGGAAATCCAACCTGAAATCTCATAAACAGCTTAACTGTCAAAAGTTAGCATTGTGTAAGAAGCAGTATAGAAACTCACTTGAATTTCTAGGAGGATAACATACTAGGTAGAATTTATTTAGTTATATCTGTATTGTGTCTTCTAAATGTTTGTTTGATCAAAGTTGTAATAATGGTGCAATATTTCTTTCCTAACATAAATGTTCTATTTTAGCAAGCTTTAGAAAACAGTGGGTTGTCCTCTATTCCTGTCTCTGCACATTCTACTGACTGCAATCAGGCTAAGACATCTGGGGTCCAGGATCAAAATCCAGATGTTCAACCTCTGCCAAACCATCAGGCTGATTCTAACAATGCAGAACAAGAAAAGGAGCAAGAGAGCACAGATAAACTGGAAAAGAAAGAGAAAAAGGTTATTAAGAAAAAGTCACCGTTTTTACCTGGTAATGTTGGCACTTCTTGCTACTTTTTGTGCTGTAAATATATATTGTGCTGTAAAGATATATGTATATATATAAAATAATAAAAGTATGAACTTCCAGAGGCACTAAATCAGGAATCATCTACTTCATCTAAAATAATATGTTAATTGTTATCAATATCATTATATCTTTCATTGTAGTTACAAAAAAAAATGTTTAAGTAATGTGATACTATTAAATATTCTGCATTAGTGATGTTTTGAGGGAAGAAGAATAAAGGAAGAAAAGGAATCTTCTCCCTCCCCTCTCTTTTTCCCATCAGCTTTCCCTGAGAAGGATGGGAATTTTATAGTTTGCTCCAGAGTAGAGAGCTCTTGTAAGCTTTACCCTTCCTCTTTGGAGTTGAGGCCCCAGAGAAGCAAAAGTGTAGTGCTCTGTTGTTGTACCAGTCTTTACAGAGTTAGCCCAGGTAGAGAAGGATACAAGGGTGGCGTAGTGGATAATACTTTTGAGGCTACCTGTGTTTGCAATTGCAATACTGATGTGATAGTGTCGTCATAAATATATGTTGACTCTTTTATCTGCATCTTGTATAGCGTGTATGTGAGTTTGGATTTTTGCCTCTGTGTGCTTTAATACAACTTTAGTTCAAGGTTACTAGAAGTTTCTGATCCAAGTATGGCCATCATAGCTTATTGACTGACCAAGTGGAGACAAGTCTGTAAGGAACAGTTGTTGAGCTCATAGGTAATAGTTTCATGGGTGCAATCCTGTTGCTTTTTTCTTTGCTTGGGAAGCAGAGGTTGATCCAAAGTAGCAAACTCATGTTGTCCAGTGTAACAGTGCTAAAATCAGCATTAACTTTTCTTCTGGTAGCAATGCAACTTTTGTCGTGTGTGTGTGTGTAGTAACCACTTGCTCTATTACTGCAAATAAATTGCAAGATCGTTACTACCATTATTTTTTGATGAAATAGCATGTGTGTAGATATGGTTTATTAAAAGAACCATCATGTGAACTGATCCCTGCGTATAAGTCCAACTCCTTTCCTTCAAATCTTCAGTCCAAATTCAACTCATACTGTTTGTAAGTAGGGGCTGTAATTCTCCACTGATGTTTTTAGTTCTTTTGCAACAGCTGTGCATGAATCGAATTAGTAACAAGAGATAAAAGCAGAACACATTGAGGCTGGCAGGGACCTTAGATGGGGAACTGTGAGGGATTCATATCCTTACTGAATTTGGAGAAGAGTGGGCCATGTAAAGCAGTGCAATCAGTGAGCTACATAAGTGTTTAGTACTTAAAATAATTTGGGGCGGTTATGGTTGGGGAGTTGTATTCACTGCTAAATGATTTTGTGTTAGATGTGGCATTCATCAGTTACCTGCTCTACTACATTGCATTGCACACACATTCTGTTTTTCTGAGTGGCATACGAATTGCATTATTTTCTTTCTGGTCTTTGATACTGCACATTTCTTAGCCTGTTTCATGTTCTTTATTCCGTATTCCCTTCCTTCTTTTTAATAGCATAAATATATATGAATTTCATCAGGATTCTCATGGATTTAGCTTTTGTCATTTGTCTTCGCTGTTTTTGTGAATAGAATCTATCTGATAGAGAAGTTAATTGTCTATCAAGTGGCATTTGCAAAGTGTTTTTTGTGCCCCCCCCCTTTTGTTTTGTTACTTCCATTTGATGGTGTTAGTGTCGTGGAAATCTTGAAAAACTTCTAAAACATGTCCAGCACATTCATTTTTCATGTTGTTCCTTATTTCAGGTTCTATACGTGAAGAAAACGGAATAAGATGGCATGTGTGTCCTTATTGCTCTAAAGAATTCAAAAAGCCAAGTGATCTGGTGCGCCACATTCGCATTCATACCCATGAGAAGCCCTTCAAGTGTCCCCAGTGTTTCCGCGCCTTCGCAGTCAAGAGTACACTCACCGCACACATAAAAACACATACTGGGATTAAAGCTTTCAAGTGCCAATTTTGTATGAAATGCTTTTCCACCTCAGGGAGTTTAAAAGTTCACATTCGTCTACATACAGGTAAGGTCTCGAAATTGCTCTTGTGTTGTGTGAGATCTTGAGGGGAAAGAAAGGGCAACAGGAAGCACTTGAATTATGTGTCTAATGCATGGTAGATATGTATCATAGAATAACCATTTTGGTATTTTATCTGACAAATTTAAGTTTTCGTTGTAACTTAGTGTTTAATGACTTTGAAACATTTTGGGCTCTTACAAAAGAAGTTTAGTTTTCCCATGATGACTCAGCCCTTGCTCCCTTTCTTTTAATATAGCTATTGTTAATATATGTGATTGCTGTATAAAGAGCCGTACTCTTAGAATTTACTCTGCAACTTCCCTTTCATTCACTGCAATCTTGGATAGTCTTACTGCATCATTCAGGACTATTTGGTTGCTTTTTGTTTTATTTTTTGTGATAACTGGTTGATTAGAGTGGCATCCCCTTCACTGTTTTCAGTATCTTGCATTGCCTGCACCTCTGTTTATATGGTCTTTAAGATTGCATTAAATATGTAGCCTTTAACTCCCTGTCTTCCTCTAGCTCAACTAAAATGCTGTTTTCCACTATTTTTCTTTATTTTTGCTAGTAAATATAAACTCATAAAAGTGACATTCTTTCCTTTCATTCCTGTTTCTAGATCTGCATTTTCTCCAAAACACAATTTCTTTCTAAATTCTGCAAAAATATTTGGAGCTTTGGTCTCTCCCTTAATCATTCATTAGCAACATACATTTCCCCTGTTTTATTTTCATGATTCATCTTTCATTTGTATTTTATGTGTCACTGAGCACACCAGCCTGTTCTCTGTGTAGCTCTATATTTGCAGCTGAGTATGTCCAAGTATCCTATGGTAGACTCTCCTGCAAAAAGTGCTGCCTGTTGGTATTATCCTATGGTAGACTCTCCTGCAAAAAGGACTCTCCTCCTACCAAAGCCTGTTGGTATCTTGGTTCTCTTTGCTAGTCATTCCTTTGGCAAATGCAGGTTTCCAGTTGTGACATCTTATTGAATGCGCCATTACTCATATCCATTATCTTTTAGAACCAGCCACCTTTAATCTATGAAATAGCAATTTTAGACTTAACAAAGCAAAAAATTCTGTGTAGATACAGAACATTCAGCCAGGAAACCAGTCCTTTATGTAGCTTTGAAACACACACTTTTTTAAGAAGTCAGACTCAAAGTAGCAAGCGCACTAGATGGCTTGAAAACTGGGGAGCGCAGCGCTCGCCAAGCTCCTGCGCGCAGTTACTCGTCCCTCAGCGCTCTGGCTCTTGCTGTCAGAGAATGGTGTTTGCTGCTGCCGTGTTCGGCAGGCCGGGTCGCACGGAGCGCACAGCCCAATGTGCCGTCTCCACTGGTGACGTACAGGAGAGAGCTACGGAAAAACGTGAGAGGAGAGGCGGGCAGAAGTGCTGCTTGCCTCTCTACAGGCCTGACTTACACTGATATTTGGTTCAAGGACATTTTGAAGCAGATGGTATTTCTTTGGTTAGCAGAACTTGGTAGATTTTTGTGTCAAGAATCTCTCTAATTTTGAACCTGTATGAGCTCACTGCTAGAACAACCTAAAATAATTCTGGTGTGATTTGATTTCTACATGTGAAGAAGTACTTTGCTTTAAATATTCTGCCTAACATTTTCCTCTGATGTTTCTTAGTTATTGTGTTGTGAGGAACAGTTCATCCTATTCCTTGTGCTTTCTCTGCTCATAATTTTATCCTGTTCTACTTAGTCATCTCTCCTAGCCTTAGGAGTTCAGGATTTTGCTTTGAACAAAATATTTGATCAGCTTTGCTTGTCTCTGTAGCTTTACCAAGTTTTTTAGTATCCTTTTTGGAAAGGGATGATTTCAAGAACTGAATGTCCTGCTCAAAATGCTACTAGGTTTCGAAGTGCTGGAGTTTTTCATTCTGATTCCAGTTTACTTGCTTTCTCCACTGCTACTAAGCACTGAATTGACTTTTTTTAATAAGCCTTTCTAGATTTTTCTCTATATTTTATCACATCTCTGTTCATCCATTTCATCATATTACTATCTCATTTGTCTGTGCTTGCCGATTTGTTTTTCTTGTAATTCTTAATAGCTTCCTTTGTGTAGAGAACTGACAGGTTATCTTCAGTTCTTTTCATGGATCCTGGAATCCTTTAAAAATTGCTGCCCCATTCGCATTATCTGTTTTCCTGATACTAAGCTCGCTTAAAGTGATGTGTTACCACTGCAGTTAAGAGTTCAGCCGTTTCATATTTACCTCTGAATGGATTTTATTGATCTGTTCTTCTGAAAGTATATTTAGTAATAACATCCTGACAAAGAAAACAGGAGAAAAAAAAAAAAAAGGCGAAAAGAAATCCTCCAACTGGATGTCGTTATTCCAAATCCACGCTTCCAGGGAGGTGGAAATAAAATTATTAGCTAGTATTTTTAATTTCTTGCAGGTGTTAGGCCTTTCGCTTGTCCTCACTGTGATAAGAAGTTCAGAACATCAGGGCACAGGAAGACTCACGTTGCGTCGCATTTTAAGCACGCCGAACTCAGAAGGCTGCGGCATCAACGGAAACCTGCCAAAGTTCGAGTGGGAAAGAGCAGTGTTCCCGTCCCAGACATTCCTTTGCAAGAGCCCATACTCATCACCGATTTAGGTAAAGAGTGAGTAAATATGTATTCATTTGGAAGTGTGAAATCTGGGGTTCCCACTGGAAAGTGGAGCGGTACAGTGAGAGAGGTACAAAAGAGAGGTACAGTGGAAAGTAGAGGTCATAGCTCAAACAGTCAAAGGCAGTCAGAGTTCACTCAAGAAGATGCACTTTGAAATAAGTCAGTAGTAATAAACAGGCTTCAGAAAGAAGGTAGGTTGTTTACACTTCTGTCCTTTCTTACCTGGTAAAAAGAGGTTTCTTTATTTACAGAGAAATTACAGAATTTTTACATTATCAATTTCACATCAACAATCCAACACCGGCTAATTTACATTCTGCTAGTGTAATGTCTAGATTTCTCTGGAGCTGATCAAACTTATGCTAATTACTTATATTAGAGTCACAATATTCATGATATTCCTGATATTAAAGAAAACTTTAAACAATAAAATTGAAGTCTCTCTAGTGAAAAAAGATATGCTTAAAGTTAATACTATATTAATTATTAGTAATAAAAAAGAAATGTGGTAAAAGTTTGTTTCTTACAGATACTCGATAACACCTGAACTCTTTGGTTTGAAGTGTATAGTGTAGAGATCAGAACTTCCATCTTCTGTCTGGAAGGTGGCATGTTTTTCACCCTGCTAGTGATACTTCCACTTATCCTAGAATGTATCTTTTTCTGAGAGGTTTCAAGAAACTTACATTTTTGCTGCCTACTCCTATTATTCTTTAAGTGGTACCTTTTAATGAGAAAAACTAAAAGCAAATATGTAGGTTTAGATCCTAAGAGCTTTAAAGCTATTCTCAAAGAGCAGCTTGTTTAAATGTGTGGTTTTTTTTGTTTGTTTGTTTTTTGTTTTTTTTTATGACTTGATGGTATTTATTGACAAGGCAATAGAAAAATGATTGTATTTTTTTTTCTGGCTTTAACTATGGTTCCAAAGACAGAATTGATGTCACAAAAAATACCTTTTTATAGAAAGATCCCACTCACAATTATTTCACTGACTCTAGAATAGAGCCACCTTTAACTGTCCTAACAATTTTTAAAAAGTGTTTCATTTATTCACTTTGAGTATGTCATTTGGATATGCTTTATATATAGGATTGCCTTTGTTCCTCCCTCGCTCCCACTCCCCCTCCATTTTCCCTCCCTAAGAAATGTTTGGAGGTACCCAGAAAATTAGCAAGACTGATAGGGTTAGTGAAGGTAGATGTTTTTGAAGCATAACACTTTTTTTTTCTTGGCAGGCAGGCAGGTATGTATATCATGATGATCTGTATTTCTCATGCAAAATGCAATTTAATAATTCATTAAGTTATATATGACAACTGATGTACATTAATTAAATGTCATTTGGCTAATGCTGAGGTAGGAGTGAAACGTTACCTAATGAACAAGGAATTAGTAGCTGTCAACTTTGTTTAAATTTAATGTCTGTTTCGGACATCTGTGAAGCTTAATGCAATGAGGTGGGCTGTAATAAGGAATAAAAATAAGTGAAGTAGAGGGCATATGCAATTACAGCCTGCATTGTGCTAAGTAGATGCATACCAGATTCTAAATAGATGCTGAGAAGATGCCCAGTTTCTTTACACTATTCTATACTTAAGAGTAAGAGTTTAAGAATGAATTTGCCAATTTTCCTTTTTAATGTGTGTGTTTTTATGTGCAGGTCTTATCCAGCCAATCCCAAGGAATAGCCAGTTCTTCCAAAATTATTTTAATAATAATTTTGTGAATGATGCTGACAGACCATACAAGTGTTTTTACTGCCATCGAGCCTATAAAAAATCTTGTCATCTCAAACAGCACATCAGGTAAAATAAATATCCAAAAAGAGGAGAAAAATGTGTGCAATAACAAATCGTATCGAAAAGTCTGAAACTTGGGTAGCATTCTCTGATGAGACTTTGTATTCCTTATTTTACTGCCTTTAGCTACAGAAGCAATGATACCAATTTTTCTAGTATTAGCGCAAAGAAATTTTGGACTAAGCTGTAAACGTGCACAGTCCTAGCAGAGCGAATGGTGAAGTTTAATGTGCAGTGTAGTCTGTTAACACTTCCCCCCCATACTATGTATGCAAAAGTGCATGTAGTGCCTGGCAAATTCATGCAGTAAATGTGTAATTACATACTCCAGATGCTCTGCTTTGTGTATAGCATCTGTTTAGAAAGCAGATTAAGCTCGTCATTTTGTGTGTTGGTTTCTACATACTAAACCTAAAGGCAAATTCGGAGCAATTTTATGTGTAATTTACATACTCCAGATGCTCTGCTTTGTGTATAGCATCTGTTTAGAAAGCAGATTAAGCTTGTCATTTTGTGTGTTGGTTTCTACTAACCAACTAAATCTAAAGGCAAATTCGGAGCAATTTTGTGTGTAATTTTGTGGTCTTCAGCACAGTTCAAATCTTAAAATCACAGGATGGAGTCATAGAACTTCAGTTTGCAGGGAACTAATGGAAGTAACTGATCTAACCTGCTCCTCAAACTAAATTCCAAGTTTGATAAGGTTGCTCAGAGCCTTATTAAAAGGATGTGAACTTTGAAATTTAGTCTAGTTATCAAACGTTGTTCCCTGCTTTATATACACTATGCATACCTGCATAAGAGAAACGATGGGAAAATTTCGTGATTACCAGGATTCAAGGAAAAGATCATGCTGCTATCTGCTCTTTTCTGCACTATAAGTGCTGTACCACTTTCTTCCATCTCTATTTCACATTACAGGGAGTATCACATATATCCCTTACAAATGGTTTGGTCTTGGGTGTCTGTATGCTGACTAACTGGAAGAGGGAAAGCTATGCAGTATGTTTGCTTTTTGTAATACCCTATCCAGATTTTTCACTATCCTTTGTAGATGCAATTAAGCTGGGCTTGCTTAAATAATTTTAAATTAGTAAATGTTGCTGGTTTGCATCATTACCACCATCATTGTCCTTGACTTAAATAGCTGATCTTGTTTTACACTCTTCTCTTTATTTTCTTAGCATAAATTTCAGTGTTTTAGTGCCCATTAAAATGTGCCTAATTCTTATACACATTTTACTAAAATGGTTTTACATGGATTGATAGTTTTGGCATATTTTATTTGCATTAGAGAGTGCGGTTACAGAAAAAGTGTGTAGAGAAGTGTAGACTTATTGACTAATTCATTTTACTTTTTATTTGTGGATTTGTCAGGATGCTTCTGGATAGGAATTTAAACTATTTAATTCTGCACGGCAGTATAGATTGCTGATTAGTTAACTTACTTTTCATGTACTAAATGCCCCCGTATTTTCTTTTTTTGTAAGAATAGGTTGTGTTTGAAAATTAACTGTAATGTCTGTGCTTCAGTTGACTTTAACTGCTTCTTTATTTTGTGAATCCTTTTTTTCTTTTTTTTTTCCTCACATACTGAAATACAAAGACATAAGGGGGGTTATTTGCCTCTTGCTGCCATTTTGCTTTCTTCTCACCAGCCTTTGCAACAGCTCAGTGAGTGAAGCTTAGCTTAGCTTTGTTATGGCCATAGTGGAATTAGAGAAACTTTTCCCCTTTTCCTCTTCCTTCATAAGATCAGATATGGCTATGCCTGAATTACGAGACTTCAGACTTGTGCTGTCAGTCTGCCTTTGTGAAATGGAGCTGATCATGGTTTAGAAAGCCAATGTTCCTCTGGAAAACAGGAACATTCATACTGTTGATAGAGCAGTGACTGAACAGTTTGTCAGATTTTTCTCCCACAGGCATGACAAGGAAAGAATAGGATACTCGTGCCATTGATTTCCATAGACATTTATTGGTTATAGAATTGTAATTTGGTTCCTGTTGCAGGCTCTTTATTGTAGTATCTGATGTGGTTGCTCTAGGCTTAAGGCTGTTGTAATCTTAAGCCATCTCAAACTTTTTCCCAATTTCAAATATTCCCTTATTTCCCTTATCTTTGGTTTTGTAACGTTTACCCAACTTACTCTGTTTCTGGCTTCTGGGATTGCACTCTGCTGCCTTTTTTTTTTTTTTTTTTTTTTTTTTCTTCCCTAACAGTTCTACATTCTGTTTTATATCTCAGTGTAGTTCAAGGGGAAATTCTTCTAAAACCTCCTTAAGGAAGGACTTGGGGAAAGGGGAAATAGTTAACAGATAAAAGAGTTTCCCTGCCTGAATACATCTTTAAGGTAGCAGTCTAAATTGCTAGTTATACTGGGTCTTACTTCAGGGTATTCAGACAGAGCCTTCTCCGAGAGCTTTTTTTGTTAAACATTAGATGCTAGAATATTAGGTGCTACTTGAGTTTTTTTGGACTTAAAACTTCCTTGCTAAAAATTACAGATTTATCACAGACACAAAAGCCTTCCCTGCTGCCAAAATGAAGTAATTTTCCCAAACTTTAAAGATGTCAGTGATTTTCCTTAAGTGATCGACGAATATTATTTGACCAGGGAAATATATACTTTTGTGGGCATGGGTGAATTATATTTCTGTAAATTTCAGCTAATATATAAATGATAATACCTCAGTAAGACATCTGGCATAGAAAAAAATCAACCCAAATGGAATAATTCTGGCAATGTCTGACCAGAAAATGAGGTCAGACTGCATAACATAATGAAAACTGTCAGGCTGCATTAGTAGCCATTGCTTCCAGCCCTGTCAGTGATGACATGCAAGACATGCATGTATAATTTATTAGTTTCAGTTTCTAGATTTAGTTAATTGAAGTAGGTTCCATCTATAAAGGAGCTACCTTTTCTGGTTAATTTTGTTCCTTTTAAAACTCCTTTAGCAATTTGACTCCAAGAATTATTTTAAAATCTGCTTTACATTCCGCTCTCCCTTTCGAAGGTCCCACACCGGTGAAAAGCCGTTCAAGTGCTCGCAGTGTGGCAGAGGCTTCGTGTCGGCGGGCGTGCTCAAAGCTCACATCAGGACGCACACTGGCCTGAAGGCCTTCAAGTGTCTCATCTGCAACGGGGCCTTCACCACCGGCGGCAGCCTGAGGCGCCACATGGGCATCCACAATGACCTCCGGCCGTACATGTGTCCGTACTGTCAAAAAACATTCAAAACAGCACTGAACTGTAAAAAACATATGAAGACCCACAGGTAAGTATATGGTTTCGATTTTAACCCTTTGGCATTTTTCAGTAGTCCTTCCTTGAAGGAAAAAGAAAAAGAAAAACTTTCTATCAAAGGACAGTAGTTTTTTCTTTTTATTACTTTGAATCTCCAGTTGTATTAATTTTGAGTATGTTTTTTAGTACAGAGTGCTCAAGAGTCTGACATGCAAGAGGGTTTAGACTCTGTTGGCTGTGTCAGGCCATGTTGACAAAAAAAGTAAATTTGAATGACTTTTCTGTTTGAGGGAGCAATTACTTTGCTTCCAGCGATACAGTAATTTTTTGAACTAGACTCCATCTAATTTTTCACAATAGCAATTATTTGTTATTGATGTATTAGAGATAAAGTGAATAAAGACTAAGTGCCTTTCATTTAAATTTATGGGTTTCCTGGAGTGGAGATTCTCTGTAATAAATGTTCATGACTGAACAAGATTTTTTTTATGGTTAGGAAGTGCTTAGCAGGATCTGAAGGTATGCTAAACTACACTGTGTAATAAAACTGTATTCTCTTGCATAAATAGTTACAAGAGTGCCTAACTGAGGTGTCCCTAATAGAAAAACCTTCTTTCTTATGTCGCTTTGCAGGTACGAACTTGCACAGCAGCTTCAGCAGCATCAGCAAGCTGCTTCAATAGAAGATTCTGCAGCAGATGAGCAGAGCATTCATGTTTCTACACAGATGCAAGTAGAGATTGCAAGCGATGAGCTGCAGCAGTCAGAAGCTGTTGCAGCAAATCAGCAGGCTATTCTGGAGTTAGACCAGCAGGCAGGAGTAGGCACAGAAGAAACGGGACTAGAACAACAACTGACTGCTCAGCCTTTAGAGCAAGATGAAGGTAAGTATTCAGAACATGCCAATGTTTATGATGGGATAAATTCACAGTTTCTTGGTTTCAAGACATTACAACTAAGTAACTAGAAAAACACATGAAATAAAATTCTCTATTGAATATGCCTATGCCTTCTTTCACTCGTCAGTGTCTACTTGTTAAAACAATAAAAGAAACATTGCACATTTTTTTTTTTTTAAATCCATCTGTTTAACAGAACTGCTAAATGCCTTCCAAGTATATGGAAAGTAAATCAGTTTGCATTAAAATTTTCTTCGTCGTCTATCTTATAAATAAGTAGTCTATGTAGCGGTGTTATTTAGTAGGTTGAGTCTGTGTTTCAAGGTAAGAGAAGGCAAAATATTTTACTGATTTATTCTGTTAATAGTGGAATGAAATGTTTTCCTTTTATTAGGTCTTTGCCATCTTATAATTAGCAATAATTACAGAGGAATATAAACAAAGTCTACAGTAAGAAAGTACGTAAAATACGCAGGATGACCTGCTTAGCTGTTCATTTCTGATTTATTTTTAATGTAATGCAAATTCAATTCAGATTACTATAAAATGTGAAACTTTGGGAATAACTGTGAGTTATCCAATTAAGTTATCCAATTAATTAAACCTTCTTTCTTGCCCCCCCCCCCTTCCCTTCCACTCTCCTCTTTCAGATAGGTTTGTGACATCCCAGCATGCTTTGCAGGAAAACATCACTCAATTTGAACAACAGGCTATAACACAGCAGTCGTTCGATCAACAAGGTTTATCACAAGGTTAGTGGTTAATAAAGGTTTTAAAGTGATCTTTATAAAATTCATTTCACAGCATTGCTATCATAAAGCATTTCAAAACTGGGCTTGCAGAAGTTATGCAACTACAGTGCAAAGAGTGCTTGTGAAGACTTTTTCTTATATTCCCATTATGAAATTATACCCGGTGGAAGAGTATTTTGGTATGCTTAATTATTAGCTTTCACTAAACCTGATAGGGAGTTGATGTTTAGCAATATGGGGTTTATAGCTAGGCATTTTAGATTCTTCCCTCAGTTCTTTTTGAAATTGCTGTCATAGTAGACAGTCCACATAACTTCCCCCTATAGTAATCATAGATAATCAGTCCTTAACTTGACTGAGTAGCTGTTAGGACTCGGACTTCCACCAAACACTGGATTTTTCCTATATTTTGCAAAGCTACATAATTATAAACCATTGGATTTTTTTTTTTAATTTGGTCTATAAAGTGCTTGGAAATGTGTGGAAGGGAGTAAGTGAGGAAATGACTCCCTCCCCTTAATTTTCTCTGGAGGATTCTTTAAGCTATTTGCTTGATAGGAAGCGAGGTATGAAGTGTGTGCTTTTTGAAGTTTGGGGTGTTAATTTTGTTTTTCATTTGGTTTTGATTTTGTTACTTTGTTTTTTTTTTTAAGGAAGGAAGCGTGTTGACCAGTTGTCTTTTTCTTGTTTCCAATTCTAGCAAAGAAATTTTGTCTCGTCATAGCTAATAGACAGTAATTGTTTTTCTATCCAGTTGTTGACTAAACTCCTCTGTTTTTAATTTGTTTACTCATCACCTTTTGTAAAACTGTAATTGACTGTGCTAATATTCTTGATAGTCTGAACAAGTAGTGTAATTTGTTGCTGATGTTAATCTTCTAGATTGCGCTGCTTTGCGTATGAGGAAAAAAATACCAGTGTCTCAACTTTCATTAAACAAGACTGAACCAGGTTCCCATTTAAAACACATGGATTGCTTCCATTGGTTACCTTTAGCAGTGTTCCAAATTAGTGAGAGGATGCTCCAGATAAAAAATGCAATATTTGACTCTCCAGTAATGGAGTGTGGCTTTGTTTTTTGTGACTGTTTTCAAATTTTAAGAACAGTATGTTACCTTTGTTTTATTATCTTGTTTTAGATTGCAGTTTCTTTGCACATGCATCTTCTCATTTACGAAATAGGGAATATTAAGTACTTTTTTTCAGAGAAAATAAGGATATTACAGAAATGATTTTTTCGTCATCAGAAAAATTTAGGCTGCTCTTTCATACATTATAAAATTGATGCAGAGGACCAGAACACTTTTTCATGTGAGACTTTTTTGTATAAGACTTTTCCTATTCTACTTGGAATCTCATCCACAGATTCCCAACTCTTTGAAGTTTCCTTGAAGATCCTGGAGCCCTTCAAAATTTTTGAATTTCAGGTAGGTAAGCACATGCGCGGATGCATGCGTTAAATTGGTCGACCCTCTCCCTATGTCTGCATCTGTGCTTCATGCTCCTAATTTCTTTTTCTTGGCAGCAAGGCAGGACATTCAAGACCCAGATATTGTATCTTTTTTTTTCTTGATGCTTGTAGGCTGTGTTCTTTCAAAAATACTTTGGCACAGTGTTCAACTTCCTTAATGAAACAAGTGGAGAATATTTATTTAAGGAAAAAAAATCTTATCCAGGCAAAAGATGCTGCTTTCTAGGTCTGCATAGACTTGTCAGAACTTTACGTGCTTGTTCGTTGAGGTTTGGCAGCAGTATTTTTAACAGAATTTCTGCTTTGTTTGGATAGATTTTCCTTTTGGTATGCTTCACATTTGTAAAGAAGTATGGATCTCATGAGGGTGCTATTGTATCATAATAATTCATTTCAGGTAGTTTTGAAGATACTGAGAGAAAAGGTATTTTAATGTTCCTAGTAGTTTTACATTTTCATGCCTCTTCATTTGATGACCTTTTAAAGAGGTCAGAACAACCAAATGAATCTTTTACCAGAAAACAGTTTTGGTCTGTTGGACATCATCTGTCACCAAAAATGTTTTCATATAGTTGTGTCATTATTTCTTCCTTTAAAATTTCACAGTAAGCATGAGGTTGTAATTGAGATAGTGATGCAGGAGTGGCCTTGCAAACATGCAAAAATTTCAAATACTCCACAGTTCTGTAACCCATATGAATATAGCCTTGCCACCAGACTGCTCTTTTGCCTTTTTATGAGCCTGATTTGCACTTTCAGGACTTAAATTCTGATTTTTTTCAGTAACCGTGCACACATTGACTTTAGTGATTGCTGTTGAGCTGGCTCCAGACTTTCTCTGAGAAACAAATGTAGCAAATAGTTAATTGCCACTCTCTGGTCTCTGCAGAGATGCACAGGTGCCAGGTGCGTCTAGGTATGTTTGTAATGTCCTTTTTGAAAATGGAGACTTTAGGTTGTGACTTAAAGTCAAAATACTGTATTGTTTTGTGAACTACCATGCTGTTTATGTTCTTATATGTAAGGCATCTTTGCTAGTAAACTGATGCTGGAGTATTCTACCCTTTTCAGTAAGTTATGTCAGTGTAGAAGAGAATAGCTCGGGTGATTTCCTCAGGCCAAGATATAAAAAATAAAAAATTTAAAAAAGGCGGGGGAGAGGGGGAGCATTGCAAGTGAGTACTTACACTGAAATAATATGAAAGCTCATCCCAAGTAGAGGACTTTCAGTAATAACTAAAAATTTTTAGTTTTTACCCTTCTTAACCCACAGAGCTTAAGATGTATTCTGTTCTTTGCCTGACTAAAGAAGATTAAGTTTCTAGGAAACAATATATAGGGAAGGAAGAGCAAGCACTGGAGGTTCTGAATTTTAGCTTTGTCTCTTTTTTTTTTTTTTTTTTTTTTTTTTCCCCAATGTTGTTCTGTCAAAATAAGATGGTGCTGGCAAATGCCTTTAGCATGCTCAGAAATTTCAGGTCTGTTCAAAGATTTGAGTAGAAGTTGACTTTCATACCAAGTATTAAGCAGAATAAGGGTGCATCATGTATTGTTACAGGTTTGGTTTATTTTTATTCTCAAACTGCTTTTAGGTATTTTGTTTTTCACTTTGCCCCAAAATACCTCTAAATTTAGAACTTTTTGCCTTGAGCACTTTGTTCCTGGCTTGTTCCTGGAAAATTTTTCAGGGTTTCTAAAATCTTGAAGTGAAAGAAGTCTAGTCACTTTTGTTTTCTACTTCTTAGCTGGTGAGAACCACATGAAAATGTTAGAATTCTTTAGGTAGCCCTTTTTTTATTATTATTAAATATGTGTAATGGTTATTTCGATTCTTGTATAAAGGGCCTGGAAGGGCCTTTTCAGGTTCTGGGTTTTAGAGTTATTTTGGTGTTCTTGCTAAATGTAGCTTACCTTTTTTTCAGTAATTCTACTTTTGAATTTTTTTTGAAAATAGTTAGTATTTTCACTGTAGAGCTCTTGTCACTGTAAAGCTGTATGTGGCTGTTCTTCAGGGTACATCTTTATTCTGTCATTCCACTAATAAGATAATTGAGGTGCAGGGTTCACATTTTTGGCCATTGTGAAAAGCTCAGACTAGTTTAAATATTTAAATCACACAATCATCTCCATCATGTCAATTCTCCCTTTTTTTTTTTTTTTTTTTTCGTAATGATAGTTGTAGGAAAGAAGCTGCAGTATTAGATTTTGTGATGAATTGTAACTTGACTAATAATATTTTCAGGGTCTGTTTACATATGTTGCTTCTAGGATATGAGAGGTAGCGTATAAGCAATTTTTTCCTATACTTATAATAGTATACTTTTGCTGTGAAAAGTAACTTTTGGGGAAATCTCTGCTTAAAGCATATCCCAGTGGTTGATATACTGTCATTCAAAACATTCTTAAAGCATTGCTTTTTGACCTTTGATGCTATGGTCATCTAATGCAGGTTTATTTCTACCCTGTTTTCATAATCTTCATCCCTGTTGTCCATTAAAGGCAAACTGCACAGAAATAATAAAATGGCTGCTCTTTTCTTAGTTACTGATAATGCTGGTTTCTATTTTTTTCCTGCCTAACAGTAATTTTTGTATGTGTGTGTTAGAAGTGTTAGTGGTTAAATGGGTTGGTAAAAGAGCCTGTCTAATAACACAGAGACAGCTGCAATCTGAGGTGTATTTTCCCGACTCTCAATTGGGAATATTGCCATTCCTTTAGGAAAGGAGATAATTAGCTTCTGATACTTTACAAGAACAAAAACAAATAAAAATTTCAGTTCTTACACTGGGATTGTGAACAAACACATTTTTATTTTTACTTTGCAGTTTGCCTTTGAGAGGCCTTACTTTACTGTTATCTAAAGAGTGGGAATACGTGGAGGAGATCCAAAGTAGGAGATGGGGTTACTTTATCAGAAACTGGAGTTCTCCTATTGGGTCATCTCCTCCACTCACCCGCCATCCTCCCCACTGAGCTTTGCATCCTTGTGATCGGCTTCCAGTGTAGTTAAGGGAGCGTGGTACCACCGTGGATAAAGGGAGATGGGTCAACCTGTTTGACACATGCATGCTTACATACAAGAAATTCAAAATTTCAATGGCTCTAAGGTAATTGTGGCATCCTGAAGAAACTTCAAACAGTGTTGTTCTGTGGAGGAGATTGTCCAATAGAATTCCAGCTAATGGTAAGTAACCCTATTATGCATATTACGTAGATGCCAGAAATATCTGTGTATTTTGCCCCTCAGCGGAGGAGAGTATAAAATAAGCAATACATTATTGTAATACTGCTTAATCTGATTCAAACTATGGTCTGTCTTTAAGTCCTCATGTGCCTGTTTTCTGGAGTTGTGATTGTCGTGTTTTCTCGTAGGTTTTACGGTGAGCGACAGCTACAATCAACAGACCCAGTTTCCAGCTGTGCAGCAGCTACAGGATTCAAGTACACTTGAATCTCAAGCTCTTTCAACGAGTTACCATCCACCAGCCCTTCTTCAGGTTCCAAATGCTGATGCTATTAATGTAGTAAGTACTGCTGGAAGGCACAAGCCACTGTTCTGTGTTCAGCGATGATTTTCTTTTGAGCATAGCTGATTAGGGGAACTCAGAGAAGTCAGGAAGAAAAATCAGATTTTGTTTTTTTAGATTGCTTTTGCTTAACAACCCAAAGCAAAGGTGAAGACTAATTGCCTCTGTTTTTTAAAAAAAAAAAAAAAAAAAAAAAAAAAAAAAAAAAGCTGTATGTTTTGATGTTCTAGATTAATGAAAGGATGATATAATAGAGTAAAATTATAAAGCAAAAATTAGGAGTAGGTCTAATCTTATAATCTGATTTCACTCTGCTGTCTTTTTTTCCTGAAAACTTGACTAATGTTATATAGGTATAGGTATGATCAAGCAATAAAAATACATTGCAAATGTATACTAGTTTTCTTGAAGCTTGCGTATGGCAGTGCATGGTGTTACTTTCATGGTACTCATCTGGATAGACTTTTAAGAGTTTAATTAAAAAAATATAGTTTAAAAACTGTTTTATTATTATTATTATTATTATTATCTTAACACTATCTAGCATGAAGACCATCTGTAGAAGTGTGACACTGTCATATTGAGCTCCATATATTATACCCTTTTCATGCTTCTCAGCAAGGGTAAATATTAATTTGAGAACTGAACTGGATTGTAGGATCCTGGAAGGGATTGGATAATTTCAGCCTCTGGTCTATAGGCTTTGAAGTTTTCTTCTCTCCAAGTCTTGGAACATGCTGTCCTTCTGGAGTGTTACTGTAGCTGTTGCATGAAAATATAATTGAGAAAGTATAGAAAGCTGTTGGCAGCACTCTATCTTGGGGAACACACTGTTTAGAAAAGCTCCTGTAGTGTTAAATGTGAGCTCTCAAATATCAGAAATATTCAGAAAGTGAAATTTACTTGAAGCTTCTCTGGTTTCTAGACTACTCGCTTGATACAAGATCAGTCATCACAAGAAGAACTTGAATTGCATACCCAGCGGCCTCATTTTCTTGAGGATAATGAAGATCAAAGCAGGCGTTCGTATAGGTCTGTTATACTTCATTTCTAGTTTCTGCCACATTATTGCCTGAATATATTTATGATCTTTACTTATATGCAAGTAATGACAATAACTTTCTTTTAATAGATGTGAATATTGCAACAAGGGTTTTAAGAAATCCAGTCATTTGAAACAGCATGTACGGTCACACACTGGTGAGAAGCCTTATAAATGCCAGCTTTGTGGCCGTGGCTTTGTTTCCTCAGGAGTTCTTAAATCACATGAGAAGACTCATACAGGTAACAGAATATATGTGCTCTGTATTTGCTTAACTCGAGCTTGGTACTGTAAATATCCTGAATAAGTGAACGTAGACAAACAGTGTGCTACTCTACTTGTATTTTTGTTACTTTAAGGAGTTAAAGCATTCAGCTGCAGCATTTGCAATACATCCTTCACAACTAATGGCAGCCTTACCAGGCACATGGCAACTCACATGAGCATGAAGCCTTACAAGTGCCCATTCTGTGATGAAAGCTTTCGAACAACTGTTCACTGCAAAAAACATATGAAAAAGCATCAGGCAGGCTCCTCAGCTGTAGCAGCAGCTACAGAAACAGGAGGGGGAGGTAAATTATTTCATTTGTACTTCTGCTGTCCTTACTACATAACGAGTAAAAATGTTTCAGTGAATTACATGAATGCTATAAGAGTTATGCTATTATCCTGTCAGTATGGATAATGCCTCATGTCTAGAGCCACTTCAAATACTATTTTTTCTAAATCATTGAAAGAAATTGATTCCCCAAGAATTTATCCAGTAACAGTATGTTTTCCCATAGAGTTCTTTTTGTGTGCCACTAATGTAATTTTTTCAACTATAAATTAAACACAGCTGTAAGTAATTTGTGCCAAAACCCTACAAGTCCAGCATTTTTTTTTAAGATAGGCAACCATGTATGTTTATACCTTTGAAATAAATTTAATTCTAAGCATACTATTCAGTGACCGCATGTTTAATAATAAACCCTATTGGTTTTATTGTTTAAGCTTGTAGATTTAATGGTCCTTTTTTTATTTTCTTTTTAGTTACATGTGTCGAAGATGATGATGAAAATTCTGAAAGAACTTCCAGAAAATCGCGGCCTGGCGTCATAACTTTTACAGAAGAAGAAACAGCCGAACTGGCAAAAATCCGACCTCGGGAAAGTGCCACTGTCTCGGAAAAAGTCCTTGTTCAGTCTGCTGCGGAAAAAGACAGAATTAGTGAGATCAAGGATAAGCAAGCAGAGCTGGAAGCAGAGCCCAAATATGCTAACTGTTGTAATTACTGCCCCAAAAGCTTTAAAAAACCCAGTGATTTAGTCAGGTAAGGAGTAGAAAAATTTCTTGTTAACTTCCTAAATTCTTCACTAGACACTTAGCAATAACAGTTTCATATAACCTTTTTATTTCTAAGCTATAATTTAACAAGTTTTTTTATGCATTTTTCATGTGATATTTGTTTAAAAATATGTATCAAAGAAAATGTATAGTCTGCATGTGACTAAAAGAGCTTTTTCATGTTTCTTGTTTTCTGTGTTGCTATGTAATTATTACAAAGTTTTGTTGTAAATGAATTATTTCTTGCAGTAGGATATGCATATAAAAAGCATGAAAAATCATTTTAAAAAATAGTAAATTCTGAAATCCTTCACTTTAGGAGTTCTACTTGATGTTGTTTAAATATTTTGCTAATTCTAAAATGAGTAAGATGCAAAATAGTTCTAGTAGCTGTGATGTTTTGTGTAGAAGTAGAATTTCATATACTCGTGTTTTCTGGAATTATTAGGCACGTACGTATCCATACTGGGGAGAAGCCGTATAAGTGTGAAGAATGTGGGAAGAGTTTCACTGTAAAATCTACTCTAGATTGTCATGTTAAAACACACACAGGTAAGTAAGGTTTTGAATGCCTGTATCTAGCCTAGTTACTTTTGAGTAAGGTTTTATTTAGCTGAAAGATTTGCAAAATGGTGCATTGTACCTGGCAAGTAGCAATGCTAGGTGAAATTTGGCAGTTGGATCGTCCTCAGTTGCATCGTGTTGTGGAATCTTGGATCAAGTGGATTGTAACAACATTTTATACCTTTAGGCTTATAAAATGGCTCTTGTCTCAGAACGCTGATATATGTATCTATGTAATTTTAACTTCAAATGTTTTGCAGAATTGCAAGGCTAAATGATGTTCTTGAGGAAGAAGATTGAAGTTTGAGGTTTTTATAAAATTAAGTGTAAAAGATTATAAAAATTGGAGTCTGTGCTTCAGAATTTTGTTACTCTTATTTTTCAAATCATTTAGAATAGTTTGATCTTCTAGTCATGCAAGCTGAATATAAACCAACCTTTAGCTTTTAGGTTGTTAGTAACTCTTTATTTTGTATTACAATGAGAGGGAGCTGGTTTTAATTAGTAGCGTTTTTCAACTCCAGTTTTATATAATTTCAAAAAAGCTCTTTTATTAACATTTGATAATTATTTTTTCTTGCTATTCAACTTCTTTAAGAAGATCTTGTATGGTTTTCTAAAGCTGAGTGATATTTTGGTAAGGTGAATAAAATGTTTCTTTTTCAATAATGCCTCAGTATGTGCGCAAGGGCTGCTACTCTGTTTTGTCAGGCCAGATATCTGTGTAGTTGGGTATCTTGTCTTGGATTGTAGCAGGTGGCAACAGTGCAGCAGGGAATGGGTCACGTTCCTGCAGCTGCCAGCAGTTTGCAGCTTGTGGGGCTCTGATCTAGAGGTGGTATCTTTTTGCTTTATGCCTTTAATGGACTATTTTTACATTAGTTGAATTGTTTTCTGAAGCCATCCATGCTGGGGTCACAGGTATGTCCTGGGTAATAAGTTTCCTGGTTTGAATTTGTTACTCAGTTTGGCAGCAGATGGTTTTGTTTGTCCATGCTGGCACAGAACATGGCCAGAGACTTGCTTAGACTTGCTGAACAGAGAATGCCATCAGTGTGCTTGCCTTTTAATGTGAATCTGTGTTTTGAAATAGGCTAAATTATAAATCAGGAACTTGATGAGAGGTTCTTTTGTGTGAATGAAAGCCAGAAGATGATAGCAGAAATTACAGACACAACTTGTTTTGTGATCAGATGTTCAATGGTAAATACGTAACATCACCAAAACACAGCTACATGTTTTGCTCTGGGAGTTGACTGAGCTTTGCTTAGCAGTTGTTCCTAAACTTTTACCAAAGAAAATGATTAATTTACTTACTCTTAGCTTATTACAACTGCAGCGAAGTCTTGTTTTATTCTTTTGTGGTAAGACAGTTATCCAGAATATGTTGATTTCTTTTCCTTTTTAACTAGGAAGCAACATGATACTGAAAGACCTGGGAATTTCAGAAGTGACTGCGGGTTTTCAGCTACAGTGATCAAGGGCAGATTTGCTGCCAGATGCTTATGTGTTGTTTTTATTTATTTATTTTGTGAATTATACAACCTCTTGAACGGTTAATGAAATGAACTATATAGTTACTGTTGTTACTTGTGGAACAGTAGAGCATGCAGGACTGCTATTTGAGAAAAAGGATTTTTTTCAGATGTCATGCAGTGAAGTAGAGTAGCAAGAAGAATTATACATTTGCAGAATTTGCAGTTCCATAATTTTGTGTACCCTTTTTACTTTTGAAGTAAAGACTTTTGAATATTATCCAATTTATAGATGTTAATGGTTTCCTATTGGTATGAGCTACTATTCCTAGACATTTTTCTCTGAACATACTGAGAGCGTTTAAGGATGAAGTTTTTTGTAGTTTGGCCGTAGAGGAACCTGAGAGGAGCCTAGAGACGTAAAAGGCTGAAACTGCTTGAGTTTGGGTTGCTTGAGTTAATTTGCTTGAAGTTAAAATCACTTGAGTTAAAGGAGCAGCTAAGGAAGGGGAGCCAAATTCTGAAGAGCCAAAATTTCACAGAGTCTCCGGTTTTATGAACTGTGGAGTTGGAGCAACTGGTTAGTCAGGAAGGTGAGAGACAATGAGGAGGATATAAGAGTCAAGGTGACCACGTGAGTCTCTGAATGAGGGTGTTCCTACTGTGCAGTTCAAAAAAACTGCGAGTTTTAAAAATTGAGGGAAGTGGGGGAGAAGTGAAAAGATATCTATCATCTTAATTCATTTGAAAAGCAACCAAAATTATAAAGAAAACATGCTAGTTATTTCAAATTTATTCTGTTCAATTAGCTTAGAATGCATAATTATCTTAATTGCTGTATGGTGGCATTGATATTTTTGTTGTCATTTTATCATTTTTATTTCTCTTCCAATTTTTTTCCAGGCCAGAAGCTCTTCAGTTGTCATGTGTGCAGTAATTCCTTCTCTACCAAAGGGAGTCTAAAAGTACACATGCGCCTGCATACAGGAGCAAAACCCTTCAAATGTCCGCACTGTGACTTACGGTTTCGTACTTCAGGGCGCAGAAAAACCCACATACAGTGTCATTATAAACCAGAGACTAAGAAAGCTAGGAAGCCTGTCACGCGTCCTTCCACGGATGGACTACAACCAGTCAGTCTTCTCAACTCATCCTCAACAGACCCTAATGTTTTTATCATGAACAATTCTGTTTTGACAAGTCAATTTGATCAAAATTTGCTTCAGCAAGGACTTGTGGGCCAGGCTATTCTTCCTGCTTCTGTCTCAGGTAAAAATGAAGGACTTTTTGGTGTTGGTGTTGCAATCAAATACTGGACTTTTTCTTTCTGTTAGAATTTCCCTTAGAGTTCACAAATTCATGCCAAACACTACTGACTTACAGGTAAGGGTTTTGCAGAATTGCAGAATTTGCAGAATATGATTCATGGTGACACTGATAGAAATTCACTTGTAGATGAACAGATGAAGGTGTTCTTGTCAAGGGCTGACTGATACCAAAGAGCAGGCATCCTTTCAGTTAAACTCTCTTAATGTTGCAAGTAAATAAAATGCAAGTAAATAATGCTGCAAGAAAACAGTCCTTGCTAATTTCTAAGTGATTTTGGAAGTTGGGCTAGTGTTAGTTAGCCCTAGGCAAAGTCGGGACAGTTTATGGGTAGATAACGTGTTTGGAAATATTCCCTGATGCCACTTAGAGTGTGGGTCTTCTGAGTGTGAGACCTGTACTGAAGACACTTTTGCCAGTGCATACGTATGATTTTGAAAGTATGCTCATGAATTCACACTAATGTGTCAGTCACATACTTAACTGCAGTCATCCTAGCTTATCTGACTGGATCTAACCTACCTCTCTAAAACTGATGAATTTGAGTTCAAAAGAAACTGACAAGCTACTTTTGTGATGAATTTGTGAAAAATGCAGTTTGAGGTTTGCTTGGAGTTTTGAGTGAACAGAATAAGTATCTAGCATGCTTCAATGTTCTAAAAAGTATCAGGAAACTTAAAATCAAGATTTATGACTTGCGTTTTGCCTAGAGCAAGTTTTTCTGTTGAATGCACTATAAAGCAAATTTATTATGATACAGGATTATAGAGAGGGAAAGGTATTTCTCAAGCATCAGCCAAAGGACACTGGTTGATTGTACTGAAGATGCCTGCAGCAGATGCGTCAAAGACAAAAACCTTTTTTGAGATAGTGTATTCGACTTTTGATCTTCGAAGCTTTTAAGTACTAAATATTTTTGGATTTCAGATGGTAATTTGTTTCTCCTCCATGTGAGCGTGTAGAATAGCCCTTGATTCTCTCTCCAACACTGTTTCTGTACTATATATAAATGTTTGCAGTAGCCTTCCTGATTCTATATATGTATGTTCTGGGTCTCAATCCAGACCTAGTTAATGTAAGTGCTTCTTGTATTTAGGGGCAGTATACTCCCCAAGAAAATTCATTCCAAATTTCTGCGGGTTTCCAAAGCTCATCTGGAGTAGTTTTTAGTTTGGAAGTTGTTAGCTAGTGCTTAAGCAATAAATACCCTTAAACCATATGGAATTTACCAAGTTCTGAAATAGGCAATCAGGTGCTTCAGATTACTTTTTTTTTTTTTCTCTTGTTAAATAAATGTATAGATAAAATGTGGATTTCATTTATAAAAATAAGCAAGCTAGAAGAGGAGGCCAGTAATGATAAAGAAAAACATTATAATGTGACTGTTTTCTTTGGTAGCTGGAGGTGATTTAACTGTGTCCTTGACAGATGGTAGCTTGGCCACTCTTGAAGGGATACAGTTACAGCTTGCTGCTAATCTGGTTGGACAAAACGTTCAAATCTCTGGAATCGATGCTGCCAGTATTAACAATATAACATTACAGGTAGGTTGTTCTCTTAATCTCTTGCTTTTGATAGAGCCACATTGAGGGCTGAAAGAAGCTTAACGAACCTAAAAAATCTGGAAGTATTCCCTTGTTTTGAGTGTGCTCTGCGGCAATACTGTGCTATACCAGTTGTACCATGTTAGAATGATTAGGTGAGATAATTCAGTTTCAAAACTTGTGCTTAGAATGATGTAAAAGGACAGATTTGATGAACTGCTTTGTGTTTTCAGTTTCACAGAATCATTTAGGCAGGAGGAGACCTCTCGAGGTTACCTGATCCAACCGCAAACTCGGAGAAGAATTATCATCAAATTTGCAGCATAGTGCTCAAAGCCCTACTGCAATTCAATAAGCCTAAACCTAAGTCTGAATATAATTGTCTGCTCTACTCCCAAAGCAGTCATCCCTAAAAAGTAAATTGGCTATTTCTAAATACTGGGAACAGATGTGAGAATGTCAATTGGAAATGTGCAGGGGGTTCTTTAGGACCCATAAAGGAGCTGAAAAATAAACACAGATAATTTTATACCAGTTTTCACTTCTGTTCTATTCATTTTCCCTCTCAAAGACCTGAAAACAGTTCAGCCCTACATGCAGCAGTGAAGCAATATAGAATGGCAGGATAAGTGACACTGCAACATCCTGGTGGCCAGCAAGCTTAATTCACCTGGCCCCGCAGCTTCCCAGATATCTTGTTGATATTGCTTGTTCTTGGAGGTTGAAGAGGGGGAAGAATGTATACTTGAAGCTGAATAGACTGTTTCTGTATAGACATTATAGACATTATATATGCAGAGGCTTTAAAAAAAGGTTCGAGTTTAAATGTATAAAGTTTAAATATTTTACAGACTTTATGTACAGCTGTTCAAGTCTTGTTTGTTCATTTAACATGTGCGCTTTGGGGTACTTCCGATTGATGGACTGCGGACGTGCCTTTCAGATCGACCCCAGCATTCTGCAGCAGACCCTGCAGCAGAGCAGCCTGCTGGCTCAGCAGCTGACGGGCGACGCCGCGCAGAGCCCCGCGCTGCAGCCCGCCGAGAGCACCGTGCCCGCCAGCGTGGTCATTCAGCCTCTCGCGGGCCTCTCCCTGCAGCCCGCGGTCACGGCCTCCGCCAACGTCACCATAGGATCCCTGGCGGAGCAAGAGCCGGTGCTGGCCACCAGCACCAGTGGTAAGCAGCATCGGTCACCTTACACCTTGAAGAATATTTAGAGTCTTTTGAAACGTACGGTTGTTGTTCTGAAGATTTTAACCTGTGGAGGAATAAATCGGGTATGGAAACAATTTGTTACTGTTAGATTTTAACCTCAAAAATCTTGCCTTAGCTACGCTTCTCTTAGTAGTCTGGAAAATTAAGTCATAGTTTTGGATAGTCTTATCTATTGCAAAGAAATGTTTGTCATGGTTTTTTGTTGTTCTGCCTATTTTACATTTAGGTGGACAGGACATCTCTCAAGTCATGACTTCACAGGGTATGGTGTCCTCCTCAAATGGACAACATGAGATAACATTGACTATAAATAATTCCAGTTTGAGCCAAGTTCTAGCTCACGCTACAGGTTCTGCTACTACAAGCTCATCAGGAAGTCCTCAAGAAATCACCCTTACAATATCAGGTTGTTATTTTTAACGATCTTTAATGCTACCAGCTCTCCAATTTAAAAGCTTGCTATGCAGTAGCATTTGAGGATGCCTCCCCAGTCCACAGCTTTCCTTCAGTGCATTTTCAAGTTTATCAGCCTTAAAAGACAGAGTACCCAAATTTTTGCCTTTGAAAACTATCTATATTTTCACATGTTATGTTTGACTCCTATTTTATTCACATCCCTGTGAATTTATTTCAAATTTATTCTCAGTGAGAAAGCCAGTACAAGCCTTACTATCTCCTTGGTGTGTAATAAGTTCCTACTTTGGGATACTGCGTCTGAAAGATCATTCTGATACGGGTACAGCCAGTTCAGTGTAGGGGTTCGGGTTGTGTCTGGTTCATCTAGATTTGCTTAAATGCCTATGAAACCATCTTCTAATGCATGTTCTGATCTTTCTTTGGGGTCTACTATTCAGTATTTGTAATAGGTAGTTAATACTTTAGGTGTCCTTGACTACTGAAACCAAATTTTTTATCGTTTCTAAGAACCTCATCCCATATGTAGTATAAATAGTTTTCTACTTCCTGTGAAGACAGTGTGTAGTCTGCATCATTAGGTTTTCTTACTAGATCCAGTGAAATATAGAATACCAGAAAAAAAGCAGCAGAGAGAAAATATTTAGGTTTTGTACTTTCTTCTATTTTTCTTAAAAGTATTGTGGTAGTAGATACATAAAGGATAAGGAAGTGCTGGGGTTTGGACTCCAAGCCCGAATTTATTGTTTCTTGAAGATTTTTAAAGTTACTGAACTTTCAACTTGTGTAAGAGTTCTGAAGCTCTTTCACTAGATACTTAATTTGACTTGCTTACATGGTTACACAGTGAAAACTTTTCTGCAGTATGGTTAGTGTTTTAAAATGTGATAACAATGTCCAAGTGCCCTACTTGCATTTTTCTAGACAAGCTTGTTCATGGATATTCTCTTATGCAAACCAAAAGGAATACAGCTGCTTAAATCTACTTTCATTTTCTGTATGTTCTGTGCGTGACCGTTCCACAGAATTAAAATCATGCGTTGCTTTTCCAAAAAGAAAGAAGATGCGTTTAATGCAATCTAGTATAGATATAAAAAGTAGGTCTATGAAAATATGTTTTCACCAACAGCCTTTAGTTCACTCAATTTTTGTAGTCCCATGAAGTTGGTGCCTTGAATCTGAGATCAGTATTTGCCTAAATTTAAATAAGCATGTTTATTTACATATTAGTGTCTAAATATTCATAATTATATCTGTATTAAAAACTTGTCTGCCTTTTCTATAAACATCTGCATGTGTTTTACAAAAAAAAAAAGTTTACATTTTCTAATTGTATTACTTTATGATCGTTTTTAATACTTTGAAGGACAGTAGCAGTATAATGTTGAGACATTTGTGATTATTAATAGGACTGATTCTGTTTAGGCCAAGATCTTATCCAGCATAATTCTGGAAGCAGTGATCTGAATGGCAGCTTAAGGTTGACAACGCCAACAATCAGCAGTCAGACTACAGGTGCTACGTTAACTATAAGCAGTGACCAGCTTCTTTCTCAGGGCACTTCACTAAACGCTCCAGGTAAGCGTACAGTGATGTTCTAATAAAATTAATTAAATCTTATTAAAAATAGCTGTTATATCAGCTAACTAAATCAGAAATGGTGTAGTCTTGGGCGTTAAATTAAGGAACTGAATGGCTTTGTGATTTTTATCTTTTAAATTGCATATTTGCTACCAAATCATAAAGCTATAACAAAACAAACAGACAAGTTCCTAGTTTGTGTGTGTATATATACACACACACACAGAGTAACTTGTATATACAAGTGATTAAACTAAATTAATCAGAGTTTCTGGAACTTTTTTTTTTTTTTTCACATTCCGTATATTTTGCAGAGCTTAATACAACAGGTGGAACAAACCATCCTTCAACAGCACCCATATCTCAGTCCACAGTTTCTGCCCAGAACTTGGTAATGTCTTCATCAGGAGTCGCAGGAGATGGTAGTGTGACCTTGACTCTTGCTGACACTCAGGGAATGTTGTCCAGTGGTCTCGATGCAGTTACACTTAATATTACTTCACAGGTCAGTCTGTTTATGACAAAAGAATGCTCTTCTGAACTGACAGATAAACTAAACTTACTGTCTTAGAGGCCAGCAATTTGAAATTTTGATTGGAAAGTAATTTTGTCCTGTAAATACATAGCATATGAAAATTCAGTAATCTTCCGTTTTTTTTCTACCCAAAGGATTAGCATACTAGCTTCTAGGAAAATAAACCATTTGAACAGAACTGCAACTAAGTATTGCAGGGTTTGTGGTTTTTTTTTTTTTTTTCCCATTGAGCACAGTGGTTCTACTATCTCAAAAGTTTTGTGATCAATTTTCTAGATGCTTTTATGTTCTGCTAGTACAGTGTTAAGCCTTTAAAAAGACAACACTTAATTAATTCAAAAGTGTTTCGGAAATACTGGAAGCAATTTCTTTTGCTGTAGTATTCATATTTCCATTGTTAAGTGGAAAGGGAGGCTAATAATGAATGCTTTCTATGGGTATTCTTATTTCACTTACTGCTTAAATCAGAGCTTTTAGATTTTACTTTCTCAAGGAAAGCAGGAAAAGCAGGAAACAGAAAAAGAAGTTAAATGGAGAAAGTAATGGCTAAGGAGACAAAGACGAAGGCTGAAACATTCAGCAGTTGTCAAACGTCTGAGAAAATTAATCACAACTGAGTCTCTGCTCTTACAGGCTTGCAATTGTTAAGTTGCTTAAGTTGCTGGCTTTTAAAAATAGAAGGGGAAAGGAAGCAAAGCAGTAGTGCCAGTCATAAAAGTAACTTACCTGAACTTCAGTTAACTGCATGCAGTTGCTCTTGTCTCTGCCCTCTTCCCCTCTTCCCCTTTGGCAGGGTCAGCAGTTCCCTGCTCTACTCGCAGACCCCGGTCTCGGTAGCCAGAGTGGGTCAGGCTCGCAGCAAGTCATCCTGGTGAGCCACACACCCCACTCGGCCTCTGCAGCCTCTGAGGAAATAACGTACCAGGTAGATGCAACCAGCTCCTTCTCTATCCCTTGGACATAAAGGACACTGTTTACTCAAAATACTAAAATGATTCCTCTATATCTTGAAGTAGGAAGGCTGACACCATTTTCCAAATTGTTTGTTGGAAAGTTGTTTGTTGCGACTTCCTAACTATGATTTTCTAAGTTTTGAGCTAAAAACCAGCTTTTTCATGTACCACCCCGCACCCCAAAAAAAAATAATTAGTAGTGTGTATCTCTCTCCAAATTAGAGCACCATGCTCTAAATACAGAATTTTTAAAAAAATAGTAAAAAAAATACATAAAATTGAGAGATTTGGAAAATTTTGGTATCAGTTGCTGTGGTTTTTCTAGTCTCCTTGAGCAAGCTGCTTTAACAATGGGATAACACGAGCTCTTTTCGGTGTAAATATATAAATTTTAATACAATCTTTTGCACATGTATAAGAAAGGCTAACAGTAGTGGTATTGATTTTTTGAGCAAGTATTTGTGAAGAGAAAGAAAATCAGTTTATTTTTTTTATATGGTCCAGGGCCATTTTTGGAAAAATATCACTTCCTTCAAACACTCTCTTTGATTAGAAAATTAAGAAAAGTCCCAAAATCAACTTCTGTGAACTTTTTGTTCAGTTTTAGTACTTTTGAAACTTGATATTTTGATAGCTCAGAGCTTTGCTTTCATGTGAAAATAGTTTCCTTGATGATCAATTAAATACATAAGAAATTTTATTGTAAGAGAAAACTTGAAAAAAAAAATCCAAGATATTTTCTTCTTTGGTTAAAATATATTTTGAGTTTTGTTTAGGAGAAATTGAGAAATTCATGAATATAGAACAGTACAGGAAAAATAAAATAAGTTTAAACACATTCTATTTTTAGAACCGAAGTGATGATCATAGAAACAGAAAGATCAGAATAACTATAAAATACATGTATTTGTTCTTGAGCAGTGATATGTGTTTCCTTACTATTTTATATTGACTTACAAACTGATTCTTCCTTTTGTGTTACTAAGTTGGTTGTAAGGACTCTCCAAACCTTGGTCAAGCTGGAGTAGATGTTGGAAAACAAACAGCCGTCGGGTGTGTCTGTGTAATTATTTGACTCTCTTAAAAATGTTGCAGGTGACTGAGGTTTCTCCTAGTGTGACTAAAAGCAGTCCAGCAGACAAAGAAGGTCGTGTGCACCAGTGTTTTGAGTGTAATCAGACCTTTTCCTCCACCACTATGTTGATGCACCACAGTAAAGAAGTCCATGGCAAAGAGAGAATACACGTTTGCCATGTCTGCAATAAAGCCTTTAAGCGAGCAACGCATCTCAAGGTATTCGCTAGTAAGAGGTTATTAGTATGTTAACTCATTTTTGTGTTTTAGATTTCTTGGTAAGTTATTGAGGGATACTTGTCATCCCTTTCTAGTGTGTAAGGTATGAGTTTGGGAGAGGGAGTCTAAGTGATAATGTATAAACAGAGAATTTCTTTGAAGCATAGGGAGGATTTTAGTGTACATATTAACTACAAAATTAAAAATATAATGTCAGAAGAGGAGTTCACTTATTTACTTTGAATGAAATCTGTAGTTCAACTCATAAGAAACAATATTGAGAAGAACTTCTTTGAGTACAGAAGGATGACAGAAAAACACTGAGATTGGAAAATGACTTCCTAATTTATGTACTCTGTGGGTGTTCTCTGATATGAAAAAGACAGTCTTGTTTGCTTTCTTTGGGATGCTGCTTGAAACTGCAACTTTGTAAAAGAAAGTTTTTCCTGTTTGTTGCAATGAACCATTTTTTGTCATCAGATCCAGAGATGTCAGCATTTGCCCAAAATGAGGTTTTGCTGGTTCCTTGGAAAGGAGAATAACGTTGTACAACCTATTAAAAAATTGGCGAGTGAAAGTCGCCAGCTAATAAGGGAATTTCAGAAGTTCCTTTTCCTTTATGTCTGCACACACATATACAGGCTAGCAGAGTGCCTAGCTAAGGCTTGGGGCATTTCAGCAAGAGATTTGGCAGTTAGTTTGCTAGGGCTCATCCACTAGAAGTGCTAATATCCTTTTTTCAGCCAGCTTGACCACTTCAAGTAACGGCCTCTTCATTAAGATGTTGCAGAACATCAGCTGTGAGCAGTCTTTAATAGGAAGTTTTACAAAGATTAATGAAACTGTGGTCTTGGAAGAGGTTCAGTGTTGAACGATCTGTTGTTTAAGGGGTTGCATACCAATACATGAGCTGGGGATAAAAGGCTCTTTCAGAAAGGAATTTACATATTCTTATTTTCTAATTAGAAATTGATAATTTGGGATCCTGAGAGATTTTTTTCTCTATTCCCCTGAGTTATTTTCAGTAGCGTATGTCTTGCAGGAAAAGCTTAAGGGACTGAGATCAGTGGAGGAGAATTGCATCAAATATTTTCTTCAGAAAAAGACGACAGAGGAAGTTTTATCAGTGCTAGCTGGATGCTCATCTGTTTGCTTTCAAGTACAAAAGAATTTTTTCTCCTCTGGCAGGCAGAAACAAGCAGCCAGTTTCAGATGCCTTCTGCAGCAGGTCTTAACCTTCTTCCAGTATTTTGATGCCTCAGGCAGTAATGAACAAGATAAAAACAAGATGTTTTCTTCAGCTGTAACTAAGCTATAGTTTATGGATCTCCTGTGATTTGCTGAGAGGACATTTTATTTTCTCCCTGTAAACTAACTTAGTGGCTTTTCTAGTGAAAACAAGTTCTGCAAAAACATTTTGCTCCACTCCATGGAGTGGGAATGGGAGGAAAAAAATCCAATTTAAATTGAGATGCACAGTTGCCCCAAACCTGTGTTTTTTGTGAACTGTCAAAAAGCTGTGATTTTGATGTGACATTTTTTTGATTTTTTTTTTCAGATAGTTTATGAAGGACTAATAGGTGCAAAAAGAAAAAAAAAAGCAAAAAAAAAAAAAAGCAATGTGTGCACTTCCTGACAGAGGTTTCCAATAACGGGAGGTTACTGAATATCTCAACCTCACAGAAGATAAAATTTATCAAAACAATATCTCTCAAAAAATGAAAATAAAAAAAAATGCATGCTTCCATCTTTCTAGGGTCTGCCTGTTTAACTAAGATGCTTCCATCCTCCCTCTCTCTCCCTCTCCCTCTCTCTCTCTCTCTCTCTCTCTCTCTCTCTCTCTCTCTCTCTCTCTCTCTCTCTCTCTCTCTCTCTCTCTCTCTCTCTCTCTCTCTCTCTCTCTCTCTCTCTCTCTCTCTCTCTCTCTCCCTCTCTCTCTCTCTCCCTCTGTATATATATTTGTGTTAATTACTGAAGTCTTTTGAAATGGTCTAAAGTGTATCTTTTCCTATGCTGAAATAGGAACACATGCAAACCCACCAGGCTGGACCTTCACTGAGTTCCCAGAAGCCTCGAGTGTTTAAGTGTGATGCTTGTGAAAAGGCTTTTGCAAAGCCAAGTCAGCTGGAGAGACACAGTCGCATCCACACAGGTAACTCTAGAAGTGATTTGGTCTTGTAGGATTTTATTGTGATTATGGATATGTTGTTTGAAATGCTTGCTCACGGATTCAGGTAACTGCTTGAAAATGCCAACTTGTATTAAAACAAGTAAATTTTAACACAGTGTTTTGAAATGACTTGCATTACTTCAGTGATTTAAATAAGGGACTATCTGGACACTGATTGCTCCTTGTGATATAACACCGTTGTTAAGTTACTACTCATTTTTTTTTATCTAGTTCTAAAGCTAGAACTTTTAATTTGTTGTGTTCTTTTGTGTTTTATTATTTTCCACAGTTATGCTAAAAACTGTGCTGTCTTTTCCAAGGGAGTGCTCATTTTCTTTAGTAAAAGTTTTCTTTGAGCTTGCAGCTTCCAGATATCTGGGTAGGAATTACATCATGCAGCCTACTGTGACTTTCCCTGCTTTGCTACAGTGAAATGAATTTGGCCCCTTCAGATGGTTTAATTTCAGCGCATGGTTCATATGCTATGAAAGGCGAAATAGCAGCAATTTACACATTAGTGTTTGAGCTTGGGGGTATTAATATTTGATAGGAGACTGAGAGCACAAGAGGTTGTAGGTGCTGGTCCTGTTGTTTCACATTTTATTCAACTGCTGATTAGATTTCTTAAGCAGGAAAAGATAAGAGGACTGACACAGGATTCATGAAGCTAATGAATTTATGGAGTGAGTCCTTTAGAGATGTTGCAGGGGAAAGGGCGTGAGGAAGATGAGATGATACAAAGGAGATGAGGAGCATGAGTGAGTTTTGAGCTCGGAAAGGGCTGAAATCTTTCTATACCAGGTTGCCAAATACCGCAGTGGGCCAGGGAATATAGTGGTTGGGTGAACTGGACTGTACTTCTACAGAAGGGAAGTTTTCAGTGCAAGTAGAGTGGGATTGACTTTAATGTTAGTGAGGCTGCTCATGCACTTGGAGCAAAACTTCTGGTAGGTAAGCAGTAACTCTTAGGCATGGGCATTTGCAGAAGTCTTATCAGCAGGCAACATAAATTATGACTGATAACATCTGCCCATTGGAATTACCATACGTCGGGTGTGTGTGATTCATATATTATAGGAGGAATAATAAGTGCAGCATTCAAGCTGCACTTGGTAAAAGATAAATTATTTTACTTGGGAAAAATGGCAAAATCAATTTAATGTGGTTCCAGAGTCTTCTAAATAGTTTAATATTAGGTTTTGTTCCTAATAATACAGATTCATAATTCCATTTTGAGATAGACTTAAGAAAAATGGTTGTGTCTTCTTTAATTTCTAGGTCATTTTAATGATACTTTTTACTGTATTCTGAACCGTATATTTATATTAAAAGCCAGGTGTGTTTCTTTCTCTTTTATAAGGGGAACGGCCATTTCAGTGTACGCTATGTGAAAAGGCTTTTAACCAGAAGAGTGCTCTTCAAGTTCATATGAAAAAGCATACAGGAGAGAGGCCTTATAAATGTGATTATTGTGCAATGGGATTTACACAGAAAAGCAATATGAAACTCCATATGAAAAGGGCTCATGGTTACACTGGTACGTAGCATAATAATAGCAGTAGCGCATGCAGGAAGCCATAATCTTCAGTTTTTTCAGCAGAAAAGCAGAGAACACTGCTGCTGAACTATAGAGAAATGAGGCATGTAGCCAAAGAGCAAAACTAATAAGCTGCTAATTGCACGCAGAACTCCAAAAGTGGCTTGAAAAACAGGTTGATTAGTGCTTCTGGTTCCTTGTTTTTACGTAGAGCATAAGAGAATGCAGCATTCAAACTATATAAGTCATTATCCTAGGCTTTTTTTAAAGTTCAAGCAGTGCCTAGTGGATTTACAGAATCTGTAGTAGTAGCTGTGTAATATCTTTACCAGCATAATTTCCTTATCTCGTAAGTGTTGTATTTGTGTTTTTCTTGCACTCCTTTCATGAACTCAAGCTTCTTTTTCTCATGTCCTTTGGTAGGTCCTGTACAAGAACCTGCCAGCCATCAAGAGCAAGAAGGTGAAGATATTAGTCGTTCTCTGAATTTGGAAGAGGTGGTACAAGAATCTTCAAATGAATGGCAAAGTATAGGCAATGTTTTTCGATGACACCTGAAAATTTGGAAGCTGAAAATGCTTTCAGGACTTGAATTTCTCTAAATAAGTTTTCAGAAAAGTAAAAGATAGATTTTACAATTGAAGCTTCAAGCATTGAAAATATTAACAATGGAATAATATATTATAGTTTTTTTTTTAATTATTTCCAAAAATTGCCTAAAAGAATCAATGTCTTTTTTAAGCTTGTAGAAAAATATTGGGAAAACGTCATTTAATCTGTTCTAAGTTGTCTATGAATCAATGAACTCAGGTAATACCATATACAGTTTCTTCATCTTCTAATTCACAGTCAGTATAGCTAATTGAAAAATAAACTGGAACTTCATATCAGAATAGAATGATTCCCATTTTTAAAGGAGAAAAATAACTTTACAGGAAAATCATGAAAATCAGCTTTTCTTTTTTTAACGGTCTGAAGAAATAATTGAGGCTGAAAATGAAATGTTAATAATTAGATGCATGGATTTTTTTTTTTTTTTTTTTTAACAAGGCATAGGAAAATGCTATCTTTCTGTTGTTAAGCTGCTTTTAGTGCATTATGAGAAGCTGTCAGGAGAAAAATGCCATGAATTTTGGGGCATTTCTGTAGCTAATCTCTTGCAAGAGGGAGCCGGTTCTTTTGCATTCCAACCGCAGAGGCAGTTGATACTTTTTACATTAAAATGTCTGAGGCTTTAAACTCAGCAATAATTATTGAAAGAGAATCCAAGCTAGAAGAAGTTAAAATAAAAACCTCTTATGTTTGCTGTATGGATCAGCAGGTGCATATCTCCTTATCCTGGAAAGCACAGCCATGTATTACAACTGGGAATTAAACATAAAATCTTGTATTTGCAGCAGTCAGAAAACTAGCTGTGCGCTAGGTCACCTATGCTACAGTCACCCTTCTCGAAACAGTTCTTTTAAATCTGAAAGTTTCTCATTATTTTCTTTGTGAATTCTGGAAATTTGTTACATTCTTCTTGTTGTTTAAACCATTTTTCAGCAAAGCTACTTAGTTAAAGTACTGCTTTGAAAGGTGCCAGTTTTTAAGTATGTTTGTAAAAAAGAAACACTGGAGTTAGAACAGAGACATTTTTGAGACATTCCAAAGATAATTTTTTGCCTTTTTTTTTTTTATTTCATTTTTTTGAGTTTTATTTTTTTGTTACATATATATATATATGTGTGTGTGTGTGTATATACGTGTGTATGTGTGTGTGTATATATATATATATATGTATAAAAGGTTATATGAGCCTCTGTGTGGCTGATTAGTATATTTTGTAAATACTTACCCCAGTTTCAGGAAGTTCATTTTTTGTTTCATACAAGCACTTCTAGATCAGTGGTAGATTCATTTTACTATAATACAGAGTTGATTTTTAATTTAGTTTTCAAAAAATAATTTTCCACAGGTCCCAGAAGCCCCCTTGTGTAAATATTGTCTATAATTTTGTCTATGATACAAACTAGTTATTTCAGATTCCTGAGTCAAGAAATCAATGTTTTGATAGGACATCTCTTAATTCTTTTGTTAACTCTTTGACATATGTATATAAGTAATATAGTTGATGATATGAAAATAACACTTTTGTTATGTGAAATATTTAATTCAAAAACATGTTAAATAATACTACTTCTTTTCCAAACTCTGCTTTGTGTATTTTCTATTTGATCCCAGATAGGAAATTAAAAAAAGAAAAAAAGAAAAAACACCACCACCACCACCAACAAAAAAACTTGATGTGGTCTAGTTTTATAAACTGATTATTTCATCAGTGCTTTTCATTCTGGGTATGGTGTTAGCCTTTTAACTGTTTCAGAAAGACATATATAACTTTTGCAATCATTTTCTGGACATACTCAGCCCCTGGTGTAGCACCGTGTTTATGTATAATAATTTTAAATTATGTAATCCTAACCCTGAATAATTTCTAACATGCTGTATTGTATATACCACCTGTAAAACCTTTGCACTTTTTTTCAGAGAACGCTGCATAAACACAGAGTATTTTGTTGGAATTTATTTGCTTGAATGGGTCATAACACTTTCCAGAAATTTCCACCTATAGTTTAACATAAAGTTGTCCTACGGCTGGTCACATCCAGGGGTGGCAATACTGTCCTTTTTAATAGGAATGCAGGTCCTGAGTACTTGGAAGTATTTATCTATCCTGGCTGGCAGCAAGTAAAAACCAGTAGTGGTTGACACTAAGTGGGTATCCCGGTCTCATGAGTAAAAGGATGCTCTTTTAAAATGATCCATTCTCAAAGTGCTCTGAAATTGTGATTACAGCAAATGAGTGCGTGTTACCAACCTTGGAAACGACAAACAATGCGAGTGCAGGAGCCCACTGTTATACTATTTTCTGAATTGAAATTGCTATTCCTTCAGCGTTTGCAGTCAGTCTTGTCAGTTGTAGTAAATTGATGTTTTAAACTTCTTTTTTTTTAAAGACTGTATTTAATTTGCCTTTTCTTAACCATCCCTTTGTGAACTTCCACTATTGAGTGTTCTGACGGAGAGGTTTTCCCCTTTGCTGGGAAATCAGTGCTCAGCAGCAGAGGCTACTTGGCAGATTACTTAGTGAAGGCGAAGTGGAGATTTTCAAAGCAGCCTGTCCGTTGATGTGCTGTACAGACAGGGACTCTCAGATGTGTTGCTGTTTTCAAAAGCCCCATTGAAGTAGATATGTTTTCTTTTTTTGTTTTTATTTATTTATTTAGATATAGAAAGAACCTTTTTCCTATAGCCTCCGGGTGTTTGGCTTGTGTCTTTCTCCTTTTTGGTTTATGTCCATCCCCATAGTACTTGAAATGACCCACTGAAAGTGCAGGTTGTCTGTATTTCAAGAATGAATCGTGTACTTCCAAGACATGTACTTGTTTGAATGAATATTCATCAAGCTAAAAGAATAAGTTTCTATAAAAGCTTCAGTCTCCTACAAGAGACTTCTGTTGGTGAAGTGTTATTTTAAAGTAGCTATGTCATTGTAAGAAATACTATATATATATATATATATATGTATATGTACATATATTTTAATATAGAAAGTAAAGCAGAAAAGCCCACTTCCAGCCTCTGTGAAAGATCTGGGGAAGAGTGATGAAGGAAGGGAAAAAACCTTTGCATAAGTTCTGTAGTTCCACAGTGCAGCAAATTTGCAAGATTTACTTCCAATTTTTCACCTGAAATAATCTCTCCAGCTGTTGAAGGCCACTTTTCAAAATCAATCAAAATCAAGATACTTTGTTCCTGAAAACAGGATTCTGATGCCTAAATGTGGCCATTTTACAGTGGGCAGTATTCCCTGTTCCTCCACAGAGACAGTGGTCTCCCATAAATCCTGGGTCAGGTTGCCACCCTGAGGTCTTGGATGTCGTGGATGTCATGGGATATATGCAATAGTTGTGTGAGTTGTGGCAAGTCAGCTGCAATGTTACCAGGAGGTTGTATGGAAGCAACTGAGCCCTGCTCAAAGTGTCGCTTTTCAGTATCTAAACATTCTTCAGAGCTTCAGGGGGGAAAAAGCCCAACATTTTATAGATAGCATTTTATGTTACAAAACAAAACTTGTCGAAGTTTCATTACAAGTTGATTACTTTATTTCAATACTGAATGTTTTTAAGCTGTGTTCCTATAAGAATAATACACGTTCAAATTAAATAGACTATTATGTTGCAGAGTATACATCTGAATGAAGTAACAGTAGATAAACACACATAGCAACCAGTGTAGGTGAAGAGGATGTACGCTTAACAAATTTGATGTTTTCTCTAGTCTCTATGTCTTTCCTATCCTCTCCTTTTACATTGCTTTGTTATTAATGAACACTGGTTTAAACCTACAATAGAATTAACAATATATATAGGTAACTTTTACGGGGCACTCATTCATTAGGAATGCGGTTTCCACCTGGGAAGCATTAATTGTAGTCTACAATGCAGAGGCTAAAACATAAAAATTAATCAGACGCTTGGAGAATAGTTTGAGGCAGTAGTAAGTAATAAAAACAGTGCAATTCAGAAGAGCTTTTTCCCCCACCCCCACATGTGGTTGGAAATACCATTGCCACACATTCATTTTAGTAATTTGTAAACAATTAATATCTATATCTAACATAGCTATAATTTATTTCTATAAGGCAACTACAGTACAACAGTTAAATGTTCACAGTAGTTTACTATGAGTTTGCTTTGGTGCGCTGCCATTAACCAGCATCCAGATGCTATTCAGTCAAAAGATGAGTTTACCAAATAAAACACTGCTGCGGTACCAAGAAGAAAATTTCTAGCTCTAACATGAAATGTGCAGGACTATCTTAAATACCAGTACTGAAGGGCTTTCTTTCAGAAATTAGACTTATTTATGTACTTAATATACTGCTAAGTTCATGTTGTTGCAGCAAAGTTTGTGTGGAGCAACTGTGACTTTCAGTGGTCACGTGTGCAATCTTAGATGTTTCTTCTTTGGGAAAATCCCTTGTTTCTTGACATTAGTCTAAGTCAAATTTGAAATCCTCTTTCTCTCCCTCATCCACTCTTAGTTCTAATGGTTTGGGTATGATGAGCAATGTATAGTTTGGAAACTTGAGAAGAATTTCCATATCACTATAGCTCTGCATCTCATTCTGCAACATCTGCCCCCTCCCACGCTGCACATACCTTGAACTCCCAGTGTTTGTAACCTTCCCGTGACTGCCTAATCCTGTTATGAAAAGTAAATTATTCTGTGAGTGAGAGAAGGAAGATTAAAACAAACAAAAATCCACAAACCCAAATCAAAAAAAAAGTACTTGGATAAACAGTCCTTTACAGCTTCTGCACATTTCTTTTTTTATTGCAGCAGTGTCTCAGAAATTCACTAACAGCGGCACTCAGTACCCAAGGCATTAGCTATGTTTTTGTAATTCTGATGCTCAGTAAAAAGAAATCAGAACACTTGCACTGAAATTAGGTGCTTGGGAGAAATAATGAAGTCTAGCAAACAGTTAGGGCATCCTGAGGAAGAATGAGTGAAGTCAGAGATCTTGTTACTTTACATAAAACAAGGAAAACATCGAGTAAAACTACTTTGTGTGTTCCTTTCATTCAACTGTTGGTCAGGGATTGCCAATAGAAGTTTGTGTAATCTACTGCATGCAGAACTTAATTGGCATTAATTAATGGATTGCATCTATCTAGGTAATTCTTGCAGTTACTCATTTTAAGGCAGTTACGCTATGAAGCTGAGTACAGGATCCTTGAAGGGCATCTTGGAGCTTCAGCGCCTGGCAACTGGGGAGCCAGACCGCGATCCAGGTCGGGAGCCGGAGCCTCCCTGGGGAAGGAAGGAAGGAAGGAAGGAAGGGCAGAGGTAAGCGAAGTAGGAGGTACTCTGCTCTTATGGCTATAAAACTGAAAATATCCATCGGCAGTATTACAAAATCTTAAATATTATCTAATGAATATCGCAGTGATTGCACGGTATACTTTGGTTAAACTTCTCCTGACATGCTAAATATTATTTGAGTTTCCACTAAAAAGACGAACATGAAAGCATGAAAAGATGAACATTTATTTTCTTGGACGCTTTAGAAATTTAAAGTTTTTTTGGCTATCCCTTGAACTTTCTAGGCTAATCTTGAACCACACAGTTCTGACCTTATCTCTGAGATGGAGTGGCAATTGTTAACTGTAGTCAGCTGAAGACTGAACTGTTTACTACTTAAAAACTTTTAAGCATACCTCTATTTTAGGAAATTTTTTCTTTATTTTTAATATTTTTCTTTTTATCCCTTAGACTTTGCCTCGTAGTTTTATTGAGCCATTTCAGCGAAGAGTTAGCATAACCCTTTAGCTAATAGGCATCTTTTCTGTTAAAATTATTGAAAAAAAGTACCATGTTTATAATTCATAAAGCAGACTGCACAGCTGTAGAAAGAGATAGTTATTGGTGCCTCCTGAAATTAATAATAGGTTTAAATCAGCTAGGCCTGAATAAAACTCTGATATCAATTATATAAAAGTTATAAAGACTCAGAAATGTATGTCTAAAAAGTAGAGCTGATGTGTGTTTGTCTTTGAAATCATAGAAATCCAAGGTAAAATATTTGGAATAGTTCCATAAAAATGCAAGAGCGTTAAATTTTGAGGAGGAGAATCCGATATTTTTCAGATTTTCAAAAGGAGAATTGTACCAATCATGTAAACATGTCATGATAGCTCTTAATATTGTTAATGTATTTCTGAACTTCACGAAGAAAAACTGCCAGTGCAGAGAAAATTATACTTAAATTTTATGCTTACGTAAGTATGGTGAATTAATGATTTTACCTCGGCATCTGAAGAACTCGTTCATTTCCTTAAATTCCAGTTTAGGAATTCCTGTTACCTTACTGAAGTATTTCTACTGTCTCTTGGTGCTGCATGTATTTTAAGCAGTTCTACAGTGAAAGGTGCATGTGTTTTTTACCATAGTTGAGGTGCCATTATGTCTCTTACAGGAGAATAAGACCTTGAAATGATGAGTTATGCTAATGGCTTCATGACTGCTGTCTTGAAGTTAAGATTTCTGCAGATTTCATTCTTTATGCGAGAACAGTGTATGGGCTGATTTGTTGCAAATGACTGCTTCAGTGCCTGAGAGAAGTGCAGTCATTTGCAGCTGGATATGGTGTGCCCTTCATATTTCCTTTTCTTCACAGAGAAAGCGAAAATTTCTGGACTATGTTCTGCTGGAATGCTCCGGATTTACATCAGAGTAACTGCTAATTTTAATGGAGATTTACACAGGTAAAAACAAGGCTTAACTGCTTGATGAGTTTTTCTTTGATTTTAAAGAACGGATTAGTGCAGTTCTGTTTTATAGGAATTAACTACAAAAAATGTTAAATGCAGGTTCATTGTATTTTAAATACCAGCCAGCTTGTTTTGTTACTCCAGATTTTAGGATAATCTCTCTCTGATTTAAAATAATAATAATAAAAAAAAAGCACACACATTTGTTTCTTTCATATTTCTAATGACTCCGTACAAAAAATGAAAATTACTGCATTTACAGATATTGTCTTTAGATTCTTGTAGTACTTAAAAATAAATAAATATCTTAAGCTGTTACCTTTTTTTGAGATGACTTAATATGGTAAGTTCAAGCCATACCCACCTATGTGGATCATCTCGAAGCTCTTTTCATAACCATAATGATGGTTGTGCCACCCTGGCTTTTCCTCTGTATGACCCTTAGCAGCTCATTTGGAAAATCTTAGGTACAAGAGCAAATGTGCAGTAATACATCTTCTGACATAGCTCCTGATTTTTAGAAATACAAAGGTCTATGACTCTTGAATATTTTGACCTTAATATCCTTGCTTTTTATTTAATATTTTTTTCTCCTGTGATTTTAAACGTGTGTACTGTACACTGCTGAGATTTGTACCTTACTGTGCTGGCAGATTCCAAATTTGAATTATATATTGTGTGAAAAAGCTGTTTATTTTTGCTCTTAAGTCATCTACTTTTTATAAGACAGCTAGTTAGTAGCCTGATCATGACTTACTCTTTTCCTGATCTGCTTTTTCTTATTAGCTGTGTTGGTGTGGTGAATCAAATAGGGGGACTGAACCAAATTAAAGATGGAGCAGAATGTTTATTTTAATATGACATAGTTTTCTAGTTTGCCTTATCTGGCTTTCAAGTCACTGTGCCCAAGTGCTGACATCTGCAGTGGCAATAGGCAGGGCCTCTTGGAGATACCATTGCAACTGAAATAAGTATTTGTCAAATTATGTCTTATGCTACTCTTCAGGAGCTTTTCAGATACTTCCATTTTCACACTGCAGCAGCAAGATTCACCTTCTCTTCAGAGAAGTACTAGATCATTTGTCAGTATATTGATAAACACAGGTCCTAGCATAGGTCTTCATGGAACTTTGCTACTTCTTTCCTAATGATGACTGGCAATTTATTTTTACCCTTGTTTCATTTGTATAGTGTAAGTAGTTACTAGGCCATGAGATAAACTTATGTTCTATCCATGGAAACTTAGTTTCTTTCAGAAGCCTTAGGGAAATGTGGTTTTGTCAAATATGGAGGTTTTTTTTTTTTTTT